CAGACTCTGGCACAGGATCGGGAACGTTGGAAGCACTGTCTGACGCGTCTGCCTCCGCGACCCGAAAGAGAAGCGGCGATGGAAGATGAAGATGATGGAATGTACAAATAATAAGCCTAAATGGTAACAAAAGATACTACTCTGTTACTTGTAAGACTAATGGATCTGGAGTGAAAATTATGTCTTCGAGGACAAAACGAACAATGAAGCACATTTATTGACTATACACAGATTTATTTCGGTATGTATATAAAACAGGTCACCAAATACTGGTATGTAACGAGAGTGTAAAGAAGTTAAGCTTAAATGCAAATAAAATTTAAATAGCAGACAATGACAGCATCAGTGGGCTTCACTCTTCAGCTGACTGCACAACCCACCAAGCATCTGTGCCGTCGCATGGGAAGCAATGACAATGGGTCGTATGATAGTCGGTGTGGCCTGTCGCAGTATTCCTCGAATCATCCAACGACCACGTGCTCGTTCCTCTTGCGTAGCAATCGCTATTGCTTGTGCCGTTTCGCTGAACCCCTAGAGAAGTGATTTTGTCAAAGTTTACAAGCACAAGGTTCATATCACATTTAAAAACATTAGGAAGCAGAACCTTTCACTTGCTCTACTGTTATATTCATGGTACAAGTCTGCTAAAGACCTTTAGATCACGCCAAAGATGAATTAAATTACCCCTTAGTAAAAATCACTCAATCAGTTTAATAAGAAATTTGGCGCGCTAATACAAGATAGAATACTTGATTCGTGCCTCGATAATGAACAGGAAAAATAAATACGGTTTACTACAAAAAAATATTTATCCAATTTATGACTTATTCGTCCGGGATTCGAGTTCCACTCTGTTTTCAAGGTTTTTTAAAAGGCATATAGAAGACATTTTTGCCATCAGCCTAGTAGCTATGAAACAAGAAGTCTAGAAATTCTCAACTGCCTCTTCTATAAAAATACTGAGTCAATTACTGAAAGAAAGTAAAAATAACTTGTTTCCCTTTTCAGGATGTCCCTAATTCCTTTTCAAGAAATACCAATATACCAGCGCTGTATAATATTAACTGTTTAATTAAAGCATTCTGTTATATTCATCAATAATACGAATAATGAATATTACTATTACTGGCAATACCACCAATTTCGAAAATACTATTTTAAATAATCTACCTAGCTTAACTCCTCCTCGTCATGAAAACCATAATGAAAAGTTAGGGATATTCCTTAGCACAACGCACGTCAGTGTAATATATGAAAACTAATAATTTTCATGTAGAAAAACAGCATAAAGCAAGGTTTATTTACACAATGCACACAATATTGTCAATCGCATGATTGACTAGTGCCGACATTTTTGCCCGTGTCTTACGGGCCTTCTTCAAAGTGAGAAGGCTGGTTGACTGACTTCGAAAATCCTTCTGTCCTTATCTTGACGAAGGCCCGTAGTACACGGGCCTAAATGTGGGTACTGATCTCTCATCCGATTAACCATACTGTTCTGCCTTGTGTATAAATAAATGGTTTTGTAATATTTTCAGTGTTATCACTAACACACGGACGAATAACTGAATAATCTTAATTTTTTGTTAAGTAATTTTGAAAATAACAATTCCTGCTGGATGGGCTTATGAACTGCTATATTTTCCTTTTATGTGGCTGGTTTTCATTAGCGGCCGCAACACAGCACAGACGGAAGTTGATGGTTCCTTTACTCTTCTCAGCACTGCACCCTTTGGTTCCACTGTTTACCAAACAGCTTCGTCCTTGGGTCATTCGAATGATCTTCTTTTGTGCACAGCCACACGAGATAGCAGCTGACCACGAGGCAGAACCCTTTTATTTTTGACAAATCCTACACCGTATGTCTGAGGCCAGTTTTTGTACACCTTTTTAATGAGAACTTTATCACTGTTATTACATTGTGCGACAAGTTCTGCGAATCTCTAGGTTCCATACACGTAGAGAACATCATTTGCCTAGCAGATGTCGAGGAGCGTGTCTGATGAGAGATTTCTGGTGTTGTCGCTAGCCACGAATATCTCAAGGATATCCGATGGCCAGTCGCGTGCTGACCATCACTCGGTCATAAGTAATCTCAGTTTTTGTCCATCTTGATGCAGAAGCCTGCACTTCCGACCCTGCTTTCTTACATGGTTAACGTATTTTTGGCAAATTTCATAGGCATTCATTTACGGTGACAACCTTCACGAACTATTGCCTTCGTCCTCCATATCCTTCTTTCAGCCCCCACAGATCTAAAAATGAGGTGTTTGGTTAAGAGCGGCTATAAACTACAACATAACTGTGAGAAATTTTACATATAAAAAACTAAGAAACAGTATCACTCCAATCACAAAGATCCTCCTGTCAAGTTGGAGAACATCACGTATGAATGGCATGGGCCATGGAGCATTCCGGAAGAATACAGTCTCGCCCGAAGCCATGTAAAAATCCAATTTGAATATAACTCTGCAAATGTGCAGTATATGAAGGATATGACCCGTAATAGTTATGGCTACAGAAATCAGCAGAGAAAGAAACTAACTGGGAGGGGCTTAAAGGAGGCTTAAAACAGTCCTGCGGCAATATTACTCATGACGAAGGATACAAATCCAAGCACATTCTAACTTCGCTAAACGTCACTGTAAACGTCAAAAAAGCCGAAGGGCTTATAACGTTTGGTTCAGATAAAACCAAAAGGAAGTCACGCTAAATTTCTAAACGGAAAACCAAACACTGCGAAGAAATCCTAAATATACGCTGCAATACCAAAGAGTCTACAAACAAACTTTTCATACCGTTTTCACTGTTGAACAGGCCATCGACAAACCTTCCCGAAAATCGGCGGGCTTCGGCACAGGCTGAAATATATCCTGTCTCCGTCCTGACGGATATTCAGGATTAACGATCTCAAATGCTACTTCGCTAAATTCCTGAAATTTAGCAGTTACATAAAGAGATATATAGAACATTAGTTTTAAACAAAACGTGACATAAAATTAGGAAGACACAAAATATGTTTAAAGAACAACTTAACTCTGTCGTTGCCTGTCCCAACCCAGATGAAGAAGGAGGATCATGGCGAATCTGTTGTAATATTTACCTACCTGCCCTTCATGGTATTAACTCTATGGAACGTTATATTGATTCGGTCGTAGTTCGGGTTACGAAGGGTTGCAAAAGTTGTGGTGGAATCGAGGAAAGCAATAAAAAGTCGGTGATCGGAATCTCGTTGTCGCCCTGAACTATCGCTTGTTGCGCTAATGCCACAAAGGGTAGGCGACTTCAGATGAAAAATACTGATCACATCATAACTGGAACTGAATTTGTATTTCAGCCTGATATTAAAAAACACTTAAATCCGACCTGAATAGCGGAAACGAGCTTTTGGCTGAGCTCCAGCATTGCTACCACCGTCGATATGCCGAAACTGTGCGCTCCACGCTGAACGCCTTTTATAATATGCCCGTCGGTGCGATACTGGTAGACGGGGATCCAAAAGAGATCCCTCACCCCTTGCACTAAATAGACAACGCAAACGCGATATATTGAGCGAACCAAGACGCATCGACTAAACTCACCGATCTGTGAAAAGTGATGCATTATACCAACCTCGCCGACAATGTTCAGCAGTTGATTTTTTTTAACATCATTTACCCATTCGGTCAGAACAAAGTTCATTAGCTTCTCGAACCCAAGCAACCTGAAAGTTCCATCATAAGAAAAACTAAGCACTACATTTTCACGAATATATCAGTCTATACAATATTGCCAGAAATGCAATCAAATTACAAATAAACTAAGTATAAATTCTGACAGGCAAGTCGTTGCTGATAAAGAAGTCTATTGGAGTTAGGCAACCACTAGTACGTGCACCTTATGGAATTAAATTTTTACGAAATGAATAATAAATTTCATTGGCTATAAACACCACCAGAAGAACGAAGCTAAGTTCTTCAATATATTTTACTAATTTTGAGCATCTTCGAAGCAAAGAATGAGATTATTCTAGCCGACAGCCGTAACATATCAGAGTTACAATATAGAGCACCATATGTTAATACATATAGGAGGCGACTTATTTGCCTGCCCTAACAAAATATCTGCTGAACTAGCATTGCAGTCAGATATCAGGGTTATTTCGACCATAAAGCCGCCAGCAAAAGTAAAGAAAATAACAACAGTTTCCTGCCTCCATCTATAACCACGAACTCTTATCCTTAAATTTGCAGAAGGAGGTAAAAAACAACAGCTCTCAAAATAGTTAACTTTAACAATGTTTATTTTTTTAAGCTTTACTGAAGCACTCAAAAAATTGGAAAGCATTCCAACCCATTTTGATGGTGTCACCTTGTTATGATCATATTCAGCACAGTCAGCTAACAGTACAAGTAGATAAATGCAGACTCGTCTTCATTTCATTGAGTGCAGATAATCACTATGATTCAGAATCACATAACTGCTATACGCGGAATTCGCTGCGCTTAAAAAGCTGCAATAAATTAAGGCAAATGAAAAACTTCACAAAAGTTGGCCAACGGCTAAGGGGCAAGCACTTATTGATAACCAAAATCAATTATTCTTGGTTAATAATCACTTTTAAGTGCTACTGCCACTGGAATTACAATAATTATTAGATTAAAACCAGTAAACAGTTTTAAAACGATGGAATGGAAAATTATTCAGCGTATGAATGAAATATAGGTTAAATATAGGAAATAATTTAATATGCAAATGTTTTAACTTAAAAATACAGAATTCTATGGTAAAACATAAGTAACAAAACGCTTACCCATTTTGATGATCAATATCTTTCAGTTTTAATTTTGTACAGTGGAGCTGGCTCAAACCCAACAGAAGGCCTTGAAGAGCACCATGTTCTACATTGATTCTTTTTCCTTGATATTCTACAGTAAGCTCGATTGCAGGTGACAAAGCGAAATGTCTATAATATTCAAAAACTTTTGAGATAAAGTGTTTAAGAAAAGTTTCTAAATTTATGATTTAAGCTTTAAGTGACGAAAGGTGGCACCAAGAATAAGGAAGAACAAAAATTATTAGAAGTTGAATTAATCACTAAACAAGTGCCTTTAAACAGAACAATAAATGCTATGTTCTTAAGAACAATACTCGCCATGCTCAAAATCTTGGGAAAACTTTTTACTGCATTCTCCTCTATCTTGGTTATTTAAGTTTCTTCTTTCAACTTTCCGATGTTGCATGTCCTCTCTTCTGGAAGTTCTTCCGATCAAATCCATGACTCACCATTCTTTATTCAGGGGGAAGCTTATAGACGAAAAGATTTCGCAATGCATCTTTCCTGAATCAATATGGATGGCAGTCGCATATCCTATAAATTTAGTCTTCCATTCGAAGTGTATTTTTCCAAAGAGAACAAGCCTTAAGGGCGTAGAAGATTGTCAACCCCCATCATTACACTCTGATGAATTGACATTTTCAGCGCTCAACTTTAACGCTTAAGAATTTGGTACACTGGCAAACAGCCGGTTTCGAACTCCGAAAGTGAAGGGTTCGAACCTGGAGAAAGTGCAATGCTGATCATAACCACGAGTTCCCTAGAAGAGTGAACCTATCCTACGCCAAAAAACGGGTCGTCGATTTGCAGATAACAGTATTAGGTTAAGAGTTTAGTATTCTGGCGTGGTCATACAAAAATGGGTCACTGTACAGTAACGCTGTCTAATAGAAGCGTCCCTTATGGCCACACTCGGCCGTGACCCATCTGAGAGCGGACCAGCAATTGCAGCAATCAGGACCATATGTAACCATTATCAGCCTCCATTATCAGGTGCTACCTCTCAGAAAGACTCGAAAGCCACGGTCTCATTATCTAATAATATCATCAACAGGTTCAGAGATGCGCTGCCCGGTCAAGTGAAAACGCCAGGAACTGAAAATCCTAGGCATAACTCCGTGGCATTGATAGGCATCGATGACCATGTTTCGACAGATCACGGGAAACAGAAAAAAATACATCGCTCAACGATTATGCATCTTGGGAGGCGACAATGCGACCCGCCTCGAATTTTCATAATGCAAGCGTCCTACCGCCAGACATTCTTAGAAAATTATGGAACGCAAAAACATATCTAAGCTAAATATATATCTGCATGGATCCAAATAAATTCTTTTGGTTAAAGTAAATGTTTCTGGAGAAAGCTGTAAGCTGGCTGCAAAAACTTTTCAATGCAAAGCACAGTTATCAAAGACCTACCGAAAATAAATTGGTCGAGACACATAAAACGTTTCCTCCGCAGCAGTATCTTCCTCAACGAAGGACAGATGGACTCTTTCAGCAATATCAG